ACTACTGACCAACGCTAACAGACTACCTATTGTTTAAAAGGCCCTCTGGTGGCGCAAGAAGACGGATTTTATAAAATAAAAAGCAGTTGAAACTGCATTTTTATAAATAAAAATTTGACAAACTAGTTATCGTTTTATGACGAGTAAAATTTTTTCGTCGCGTTTGCGGCTTTTAAGTAATGCATAAACCTTCCAGGCGCGAGGCCCTTCGGACCGCGAGGCATAGGCGGTGGCCTATGCCTCGCAGTCCACGTCGTCCATGCCTTACGCCGCCCTTGGTCAAAGAATTGATGTAATTTGAATATAAATTATTTATAAATACGTATATCAAGTTTTTTATTACTACGTAAAATATATTTAAGAGTTTACGACCACTGTGCTGGGTGAGACGTTGTTGAAACAAAAAAAGTTATGCATTCCAGTGCAAATCAGCAAATTCGTAAAATTTTTGTTTATTTTGAACAATCCGGATAATCGAAAATCCGGATAATGGAGGTCCGGATAATAGAGGTTCTACTGTATTTTATTCGTTTAAACGATATCATTTTGCTCATTTCTATATATTTTTCATAAATATAATATTTAAATTTAATTTCAATGTTTTTATATATTGAATAAAGTTTCATTAAAAATTTTTGTTTGTTACCAAGTAATTTTATTTATTCTTTCAGTGTAAATATTGAACTATTTAATTGGGCTATTTGATCATACGCATTATTTTGAAATTAATAAGACATAAAATAATATTTAAAATTTTATATCTGATATAAGTAAAAAGTAATTTAACATTTAAATAATTATTCTCATTTACGGACTTTCAGTAAAAAATGTCTACATTTTGACAGAATTAATTATAAATGATTAGTCAGATTAGTATTAGGTTATATTGAGGAAAAATATTTAAAATTATAACGTTTTAAAACTTTATTACGAAGTATATTTTAAAATATTTATTTATTTTTAATAAGTAATATATGCTTTTATTAAATAAAATAATTTCGCTCTCTTATTTAAAATAATTGTATTTTCAGGAACGAACAATGGTCTTTAATGATGGAGTATAATATAAGCAGTAGTAATGGAGTAACTCACGAAAATGGCTCGAATTCAGAAAATGCTAGCACGGAAACAACAACCAGACATTTGACGAGAGAAGAAAGAATGCGTCTAGCAAACGAATATTACCAAACGTACGATGCCATGACTGGTGTAAGAATAGCTGCCACCCTAGGAAGCATCATCACATTATTTACCGTGTTTCTTCTATACAAAAGCAAATGTCGAATGGATAAAGACGACATAGGACATTCATATAACTTTTCTGACAGTGAAGCCAGTGAATATCCACGAATGAACAGTGATGGATTTATCCAGCTGCCTCTGAATCCAGATCAAAATGATGAAGATTATTCATTTATATGTTCTTCCAGTCCAAAAACACATCGAGAGTCATCCCCCATCCGCAATGACAGTTTAGAATCTTTAATTGATTACAAATCTGTTAAAACTAACATCAATCATCTACCCTACACAAATTCTCCTGATATGAATACAAATTTATCTGCAATTCAAAATACGTGCGAATGTAGTTCGTGATTTCTCTAGCAATAAACTGTATTTTATGTGAAAGGGTTTCAAGCAGTATATTTTAATGCGAACTATTTATGTCTACATACAGATTCATATAATACAATCGATGTAGGTTTTCAATAAAATGTAATGATATCTACATAATGATCAAATGGAATATTAGATAAATTTATTTATTTTGGAATCTAGTATCTAGTGAAATTTTAAAATGATAAAAATTATTTTTATACAGTTTTCTTTTTAAAAGATTATATTTATAAAATTAATCGAATCTATTTGGTTTTATCTTTAAAATGATTAAAAAATTTAATCTTCATGATAATAAATATACGATTTTCAACTCTATAATAAATTCTCGTGCATAAAATGTTTTAAAATTAATTATAATGACTTTTTATATATCTTAATTATTCTATTATTCCAATAATTCACTTCTAGAAATTAATTGTGTAAAATAAATTGATGACGTCTCTTTTAAATATCTTAAATAATTTCGATTATATTCATATAAAATATTGTATTTATTTTATAAATAAAATTTGATTATTGTCTGAGAAAATTTGATATGAGAAAGAAATTATTGTAGTAATAAAATTTAACAATTTAAAAATAATACAAAGGATGTATTAAATATTTATTTTCTTAACAATTTTCAATCTTCACAAATAGATTATAAGAATAAGCTAATGCAGAATATGAACTATTTTATCGGTTAAAAAGCATTATATTGTAAATTAGTTATTTAAACTATGAACGCTCTTACTAGAATTATTGAACATTAAATATCGTTAACAAAAAAGAGAGATTCTTTTCTATGATAATGATTATCTTTTTGAGTAGCCAATGAGAGAAAGTTGCGAAATCAGAGTTTCAGCTCTATTGCTTTTCATGCAAGTTAAGCAGAAAAACGTATAATTTATCGCTATTTACAATAGGTCGAATTGCACGGTTTTAAAATGTCTTGAAAATATTAAATCTAAGATTATATTTTTGATAATTTTCTTATTTTTTTTACTATTATTTCGAATGTTGTATTTATTATTTTCCTAATAATTTACCCTGTGGAAAAGAAAATAATCTTAAATTTTACAACTTACTTTCGCATATAAAATAAATTATCAAAATCCTGTTGATTTCATTGAAATAAAAATAATTTTATGCTTAATTTTTTAAATATAAATAAAGAAATCTTGTATTTGAAAAACTCCAATTACAATATTTAAGTTTTAGCAAAATATATCCGTTATTAAAATTTTTATTTGTCTCTGCGCTATTAATATGTTACCTTTATTATTTTTAACTTCTTAGAGGTCGACCTGTTTTAATATTAAACTACTAATTATATGATATTTGTTACATCAAATTAAATATTTCAAAAACTACAGGTTGAATTTATACTTTTAATTATACTATAATGATGACATCACGTATTTTTCTTTCACAAGATAACATAAAAATTACAACATATATTTTTGATACAAATCCCAATTTTCGTGTTTTTGATAAACAAAGCATTGATTTCGATAGTCCGAGATTTATCGGAAAGGAAATAAATTCTTGTTAAATAATTATAAACAAAAGTAAATTACGTCGTGTCAGAAACTTTTCTCAAATGTACTTTTCTCCTGTTAACTGACAATTAGAATTTGGCCTATATCATCACTTCCAAAACTACAAAAACTTCTCATAAATTGAAAATTTAATTTTCGTTATTTTCTTCAGAATTTAATTTCAGAATTTCATGATGTGTTGAAAGAATATTCGTTTTGCTAGAATAATTTGTAATTGAACAAACTGTCTTTAAATATTAATTTAACATTTTATGACAAAAATGTCAAACGTGAGAAATAAATATTTATTTTTCCGATATTATTGAATTGATTGTATTAAGATTCTCACTTAATATATTCGCTAAGCATTCCGTTAATTAAGTATTCAATTTGTCAATATACTATTTCTTTATAAATGATTGAGAAACAAAATATTATCACTTTGTGAAAAAAATCCACAAACACTATACTATGAAATAAGCATAACCGTCTAATCCACAGATAAAGCACAAATGAGAAAACTAAGCAGAAAATACTAAAAATAAAAATACTTAGGATATAGTCGAATATTCTATTAATAAGCATAAATTTATGCAAAATTTCCCTAATTTATGCAGCCTCCCTAAAAACATCTGCAGCGTAAAATTATTTCTGTTGCGGTTTAACCATTGAACTTTTTATTGTTTTACTGTGTGATACTGATAGTGATAATGCTAGAATGGCGCCACGTAGAAGATTTTTTGAAAGGGAGAATTAGTGGAAAGTCAGAAGCAGGCCAGTAGCAGATTGATATGTCCAGATGTGAAATATAGCCCAAGTTATATGACGTTCTGCGGCACATTTAGTATTGAAATATCCAGATTTTAAAGAATCAGTTTCATATTAACAAGGAAGTGAACATTCAATAGATACCATCCCTCAACAGGACGCTATTTGACGTTAACAGCGCGTCGTAAGAGAAGAATGTCTGGTGGAATCTGCAGTCACCGGCAACCGGTGTTAGAGTTTCACGACAAACTGTTTAAAGAGGCTTCGGGCAAGTGGTTGTTTTTTACTAGACGCCCAGTCTGTTGCGTTTCATTGACTCCTGTACACAGTAAAGTCTGTTTAAATGTGTCAAGAACATCGACATTGGACTATGAATGAATAGAACAATGTTTTATTCTCTTATGAGTTCAGGTACTTTACAGACTATAGAATGATTTTCGTAGAATCTGGAGAAAACGGAGAACCGATACAATGCTAAGATCGTCGTGAAAAGAGACTAGTTTGCAAATGGTGTTAATTAATGAACTGGAGTGGCATTATGCTTAATGTTCTACGTTTATTGACTGTGAATCCATGACTGCAAGAAGGTACAAAGATGAAGATTCGGAACTCCATGCGAGACTTTTCCGAAGTGCTATGGATGCAAATTACATCTTCATGGACGATACGTCACTCACACATAGAGCTACACTTGTCAATGACTTTCCTGATGGAATAATTATAATTTAAAAAATCTGATGAAAAATTTACGAAAACAACAAACATTTCTAAATGCATTTTTTCCCTTTGCAAAATATTTTTAGATGGCACAGATGGTAAGGCCCATTTATTTCTATAATTTATAGCCTAATATGTTAGATAGTATACTATCTAAAAGTGCCCTACTTGTTCGTAGTCAGAAGATATGATGGAATCAATAACTTTTATGCCAGGGAAAATATTATTTTAGTTCTTTTTAGTTTCTCTGGGTTCAGTTTTTATTTTTTGTTAAGATTCAACGATAGAAATTATTGAAGGATATTAAAGAGTACCGAAACTGATTATTTTTAAATATCAATAATAATATTTTAAATCTTAAAACGTTTTGAATAAATAAATTTTGATANGTTGGAGAACAATAAAAACACTACACTCAACAAGCCACCAATAAAACTCAACTGCCTAACCTATAACCAACGTCTCCTTTTAATTTGTTTTTAAAAAAAAGCGCTTGACAAACTTGCCCCGCATGCCGAAGTTGCCCCGGTCTCCCCTATATATGGATCATCTCTTACAATTAGAAAAACAGGAATAATACTTCAGATACAGCTTCTCTAAATCTGAATTATATTTTCAATTATAAAGAACACACTAAGTTATAAATATCAGAATGAAACAACGGTAAATATTTTGTACCTCATATAAAAATTTTTTATATGAGGTACGAAATATAACAACTTTAAAGATTTTTGCAAATATCAACTATGTAGCTATATTATAGCATATAAAATTTCAGTAATCAAACTGAATAATAATGATAACTGTAGTGCTAAGCACAATCCATTTAACTAAATCATAATTACAATAGTAGTTACCATATAAGCGTTTTGTTTTATTGTTTTATCCTATTGAGGAGGAATGCCACCCGGGAGGACTTTCTATGGAAAACTGGCTTCTATTTTGGCGTTATATACGTGAATAAAACTTGGAAAATTCCATCTGGCCAACTCTTGCAAGGTGCGACCCACGACGTTGGCGCCAACAGCCTATCAAAAGGGGGGGACTACAAGCTATAAATTTTTTTTATTTTCAAAGTACTGTATTTCTGATAATAATTACGAAGAAACTAGATTAGATACAAGAAGTTTCAAACTCTATGAAACCATGTCGTATTAGCGCTCCCATAAGATGGCACTGGTTACATTCGGGCTAACTTGTCCTCGAAAACAAGGAATGCAGTTTTGGTCAACATACGATGAGGTTGCATGGACAACAGACAAATATCGTTCATTAGTTTCTCTTATATTTACAGAATAGGTTAGCTAGAAGTCATAATTTTTTTTGCTTGTTGATGAAATTTGGGGTTTTCTTGGTGATTAAGAAATGGGCACCTCTGACCCACTACGAAATACTAGTGTTCAGTGGTTTTATCCATTCGGCTACTGGAGAGTTAATCCTTCTAATATAACAGTAGAACTATTAATATTTATTGAGTTTCTCTGTCTTCAGTTTGATTTTGAAAACAGGGATATATTTCCCTTTAGAAATAGAATTGACTAAAGAATTTGTTAAAATAATGCATTGGAAAAAAATATGATTCTACTTATAAAGTCAAAAGTAGTGTAAAGTCAAAAAGTACGTAATAAATTAATTTTACTTTTCGGTTATTTGATTTTGTTTAATAATGCACAAATGAAAAAATGGACTGAATCAACATTCCCCAATTAAATTTTTCTATTTCACAATATAAATGTGAATTAAACGTTAATTCTCTTATCTATTCTCTTAATTCTCTTGCTATTTCTTCCGAATGGTTGCAGAACTGCTGATGAATTTCATATCGAGTTCGAGGCAGTTTCTGCTTCACGGATTTGATTCTTCCAGGCACTTTCAAAATAGATAAAAGGTGGCATGAAAATTAACATGCCTCAATGTCACTAAAATATAAGTTTTCGTCTACAAGTACAGTACGTATCTTCTAATATCAGGACTTATTATACTGTTAAAAACGAAAGAAAAAAGTCTGAAAATTGTAAGAATTTTATTACTGTGTATAAATAAATAAGCTTGTCGGGAAATGTTAAATGTAATTTTAAAATTATTTTATTGTTTTAATTTATATAGAATATTC